TTCCCTCCCTCCTCCCTTCCAACCCAATCTCCCACAAATTAATAAAAATAACAACAACAAAACAAAAACAACAAAACAAACAAACAAAAACCAAAAAAAAAACCCCAAAACAAAAGACACCAGCACAATGTTTGGATTTCTTTGATCAAATAAGATTGTGACCAGCGAATGTATGTGGGCTCGTCTTTTCAACCGGCAGAGAGTGTTCTATAAATGGTCGCTTTTAAGGACAAGCGGGCTAACCCAGATTTCGGGGGTTTCCAGAAATCTTGATTTACACCAAAAGTGGGCATTGTCTTACCTATAGGAGGAGAAGTTTGGTTTCATTGGTGTGTATATTTGTTTGTTTATAGAGAAAACTCTCCTTGTCTTTTAAAGAAACTGAACAAGGGGCAAAAAACTTTACCTTCGATTTTCTCAAAACAGCATTTTTCGGGATAGCCCTCTTGTGCTTAAAAACGACCAAATATACGTTAGGTTGGCAAAAACCTTTATGGGGTGGGACAGTTGAGAGACGGAGGGGGAGGGGGAGAGGGAGGGTCTCAGCTACAATATCATCACCCCTCTCAACCATCTCTCGAATCATGAGACTGGAACACCCCCCCCCCCACCTTTAGCTTCCATCCAAACCTCGAAAAACAGATCATGACCCTTGACCCCCAATTCCCCACCATCTGATTCTGGTCCCAGAAAACGGACAACAAAAGTTTCCCCACACATATAGACAAACAGTCGATACCCCATGGAATGTCCATCAGTTCAAGCTACTACTACAACACCACACTTGGCGCCATGGCGAAGATGATAATAATAATAAATTGCATTTATATAGCGCATTTCCACAAAGAAGTGCTCAATGCGCTGTACAACAATACAAAGCTCCTATAATAATCCTCTTTCTCTCTCACTCTGTCTCTGTCTCTATCGTTATGATAACAATATAACGATGATGACGATGATGCAGCTGAAGAACTTGACAAAAGATGATGGCAAACATGATGACGATCTTAAACAGCGGCATTTTCGATCCAGTCTTTCCGTCTGTTCAACTCGTTAGTTCAACTGTGTGTGTATCTGCTGGACTGTCTGTCTGTTCAACTGTCTGTTCAACTGTATGTGTGTCTGTTGTACCTTGTACTGTCTGTCTGTTCAACTGTGTGTGTGTGTCTGTTGTACTGTCTGTCCGTTCAGCGATCTGTCCTATCCTACTGCTTCCATCCGTGTGCCTTGTGACCAAACATGAAGCACAACTTCTTGGGGAACCTTTCGTTCTTGGGTACGAAGGCGAAGTACCCGGCGGAACGACAGAACCTGGAGATAAACGAGATGTGTGAGACTACTACTACTACTACTACTACTACTACTACTACTACTACTACTACTACTACTACAACTACAACTACTACTACTACTACTACAACAACAACAACTACTACTACTACTACTACTACTACTACTACTACTACTACTACTACTACTAC